TAAGTCGTGCAAGCCCAATGAATAGCTCGAAATGGTACAAAGGTAAATACTGAACAGCTAACAGTTAAAAAAAAAAAAAAAAAAAAGGTTTAGTTAGCAAAAACGAAAAAACCAAAACTGAAAAATAATGTACATTTCAGAATTATACAAAAAGACCATTTTCACGGAACACAAAGTGGATTAACAATTTAAAGCTGTTCTGCAGCAATGAATGTTGAATCAGCTTAAAAGCTGGTGCTCCAACTTTTTTTCTTGATTATTTACAACCCCCTCTGTCTGCATAAAAGTTGCTACAAAAAGGTCGAGAAAAAGGCAGTTAACAATGGAAGAGAGACAGATCATCACAACTTAACACTTAAAATTGTAGGTCTTTCCTACAGGGAAATTACAAAGAAAGTCAAGGTGTCAGTGAGTATGGTTTTCTTCAGAAGAAACTGGGGGGAAACTCTGACAGGAAGCGGTCTGGCAGACAAAACTGAGAATACATTGTGGTCGATAAGTTGATTAGATAAATGAATAGATTGATGATGAATTGATTTCTTTTTCAACTCAAATTACTTATTTGTTCTATTAACAATAATATATTTTTTTTTTACTGAAAATAATAATTTTCAGTAGAAAACTGAAAACTGGTGTGGTGTTCTAAAAGTTTTGACCCGTAGTGTATATGTATATGTATATGTATATATATTTGATGTCACAGCGATCGTATGACATCAAAGGAGAGTCCCTGTTACCATTGATGTACTGTACTGTGGCGTGCAACATAAGGTCTTAGTCATCACCACCGGAAAAGGGAAACTGTCATCTACAAATAAAACATTAATATTTACTAAAACCGTTTGTTAAATAATGTTAGATACTCCAGTTTGACAGGTATGATGGACAGGATCTCGTTGGCCTATTGGCTACAGTGGAATCTTTGTAATTGTAATTTGGTATTCAGTTTTAGGCAAATCGCCGCAAATAATAGATTCGCATGAAATTACAGTTATTTGTAAAAGAAAAAAAAAAATGAAATCATGGCTTTTTAGGTTTCAAAGGTCAGAGCCTGAGCAGTTACAACGTAGTACTTGATTGGTTTTCACGGAATGGCTGCTGAAGTCTTTGTAGAGTTCAGACTATGCAATGTAGCATTTATTGTGACCACCATGTAGCCTGTTACCATGTTCCGGGTGGAAACCTCAAACCTGAAAAACGAGTTGTTAAGACAACAAGGCTCTGTCAGTCAGCAGTGACATACTAATTTGATCAAGCCTGTTTACATTTTTGACTGTATATCAGAGATGCTTTCTGCGTACACAAATTTGCTTAGACACAACCGGATCAGAAAGTAGTTTTGTGCCAAGTTCCTGAAATGAATTTGCAAACCAAACTTTATAAAGAACAGGGTTCAATTTCGGTCTTCTTTATTTTTTTTTTTCTCCCCAAGCTCTAGATTTACCTGGAAATAATTCAGATGCAAATGAAGAGACGGACATCCTTCACCTTAATTCATTAGACAAGGTATGAGTTAGGAAATTTTCAAAAACATGAGTTTTTTTTTTTTTTTTTTTTCCCGTCCTGCACAGTATGAACAGCGTTTGTTTCCCTCAACAGGAAATGCTTGTGCAGGTGCAGAGTCCGACAAAGGGACATTACAATTCGTGGTTAAGCGACGACGAGCTGTTGGATGATGATGATGATGATGATGATGACGACGATGATTATGATGACAATGCTGCTGTGTGAGTCGCACCTTTAACTTCAGGATAGATTGTTAAAGTGTTCATTAGTTAAGTTAAAAGGCAGCTTAGAAGCTTAGAGTTTGACACTGGATGTTAGCGCATCAGCTAATGATTAACAATTATAGTAAACGGATAATTAACGACCAGGAATTTGGATGGTTATTTTGCTGAATAACAACCAGGAATTTGGATGGTTATTTTGCTGCTCTCAGATGTATGAGATATGTACTTGTAGATTTTGCTGTTCAACAAAAAAAAAAGACTAGATTGTTTCAATATATTTCTCTGTTGTTAGAAGTCAGTTAAATAATTTCGAAAATGTCCATACGATCAAACCCAACCATAGTTAATGTTAGTTTTTAACTACTAAACCGTGCTCTTATTTAGCAGTTAGCAGACCGCTATATAGGGAGATATTGGGAGATATACAGAATACTTAGTATGTGTCCTAACAATTTTGCCTGTTTCCTTGTCTCAGGAGTCAGTTCCCGTGGCTTGACCGGCCCATCAGTAACATTCATGGCAGTGTGTGTCTGCCCAGCACCGGCAGACGGCCTTCGGCCGCTAAAAATGACAGCCCCGAGTTGATTGCCACTGTCATCAAGACGGGCTGGCTGGACAAGAATCCACCACAGGGGTATGAGCACCAACGTGATACTCACTCACTACGATTCTGCCAAAATGTAAACAAATAAATCCAGACGTACTAAAAATGTAATTAATTATCTTTACTTTGCTTAAATTCTACTCACTAATTAATTATCTTTACTTGGCTTAAATTCTACTCAAGAATTTTAGAAATCCACAGTAGTAAAAGTAAAATAAAAACTTCATTTAAAATGTGCTTTGACTAAAGTTACTTAGTAACTTTAAATGACTTAATATAAAAAAAAAGGATGAGTCGTAATTGTAAATTAACCAACCAAACTCAGTGTCTGGCGCTATATTCGTTCTGAATTGTGTTCAGTCACACCATAAAACATTATAAAGCACAATTGGTATAAAGCCCCAAATTTGTCTAGGCTACAACCCAGAACAAGTGTATTATAGATTAATTAATTATGATTATTTCATTGGAGATTAACTGCAATTACAATCACGCACCTGTGTTAGTTCTCACTAGTGAAATCCATTTTTTAAACACTAGGCTACTTCACTGAAATGTTAGTTGTCAGGATGGATGCTAAGCTAGGTATCATGAAGGCACATATTGCTCAACACAGAGAGAGGTTTTAACCTAGTATTTAACATAACGTTTAGGATGCAGTACACAGGCAAAAGCCTCTTTTTCAACGCTCTTTGCTAGATTGAAATTTCTGTTCGCACAGATTTTGGGTTTTTTTTTTCCCCCGCGTTTAATTTTTTTTTTTTTTTTTTACCCAGAAATGTTTTGTTTTTTTTCAAATGTAGCAAAGTAAAATACTTTCTGTCAAAATACTGTCTAATACGGTCAAAATTTACTTAAGTAGAGGTAAAAGTACCTATTTCCAAAACTACTTAAATTACTCACAAAAACATCTCAATTACAGTAACTTTTCACCTCTGTTTTTTTTTTTTTTTACACTGGGCTCGTTAGGCCACATTTGAATAACAATGAACGGTTGCACAAAAGAGAATATAAAAAGTATTGCCTTAAACCCTAGACACACTGCTAATGAAATGCAGCTTCACAAGTTCTAGTCCAGTCAGTTTATTTATAGACGTGTTAGAAACACGTATTTTAACAAAGCGCTTTAAAGGAAAACAAAACGTGAATAAAAACTGTAAGTTGTAGAATAGAAAAGATGAAGTTGTATTTAAGGTCAAATAAACCAGGTTACTGACGTCAGTGACCTTTAACATTAGATTCCCTTCTCAAGTACGACGGCTGCTTTGCGTTCTGACGTCAGTGACCTTTAACATCTTCTCAAGTACGACGGCTGCTTTGCGCGAATATAAATATGCAGTAATACAAGTTCAAATGTTTTGTTGAATTAATGCTTGTATACAACCTTAATCCACAGGGTGCTTTATTACCAGAGACGATGGGTGAAATTGGATGCGGATTATCTGCGATACTTTGACAGTGAAAAGGTAACAGCACATACTTCACAACACTGGGGGAATTAACTGTAAACATTTTGTTGACACGTTTTTTTTTTTTAAAACTACAAGTAGGGCTAGGACCTGTTAGACCAGCTCTGGGCAAACTAAGGCCCGGGGGGCCGAATGCGGCCCGTTCAGTTTTTTAATCCGGCCTGCCAAACTTGTCTTGTCCATGCCTCGGCCTCGGATAAACGGATGATGATGGATGGATGGATGGGTGGATGAGATAAATCCATAGTTAAATGTGTGTGTTTTTTTTTAATAGGACATTTATTCCAAGGGAATCATCTCAACAGCCTTCATCACTAACGTGGCGAGCATAGGAGAGCTAAAGTTTGAGGTGGCTACGAACAACCGGACATTTATCTTCAGGGCAGAAAATGAAGGTATGGCGTTTTTTTAATTTCTTTATTTGGTCTTATATTTTACCATCCCGCTGAATTCCGTACGTCACCATTTATCTGGGGTTTTTATTAATTGATGCATCTTTGTTTCCCTTTTCACGCTAAACTGTGCAGCTGAGAGAAACGACTGGGTTGCCGTGCTCCTGGACTGCACCAGAGGGCGCTACCGCCGCAGCAACATCGGCCCCGGTTCACCCTTGGCCCCAGATCATCAGGGGTACCTGGAGCTCAAAGGGTTACGCTCCAAACTTTACACTGTTGTTGCCCTCGATAAAGTCTTTCTCTACAAAACCATCGATGTAAGTCAACAACTGCAGAAAAGAAAAAAAAAAAAAAAGTCATTGTTACAGTTTAAATCTTATAAGACTTAAATAAATAAATGTCCTTTTCTTTCTTGCAGGACTATCGTATGGGAGTCGGCATCACCTCCATTGATATGAATGTGGGAAATGTAAAAGATTCGGACCGTCGTAACTTCGAACTCACAACGCCTTACCGCATATTCAGGTACTGCATAAATATATTTTCTTCATATATTTAATAAATAATATATATTTAACCTTGGTGAAGATTTTTTTCCTTGACCCTTTGCTTGACCGTCCAAATTGAAATACTATTGAGCGCCTGGTAGTATTTACTTATTTATCTGTACAGACCACGATGGTGTTGCTGGCACCATCATTCTGCATACAATCCCCTGCTTATCAACGTAGATGAGTAAAATGAGCTGCAATGCTGCCATCTAGTGACTAGAGGCTTGTTTCGTGTTAATAATGTTAACAATGACGGGTATGAGAAGAGTGAGGAGGAAGAGAGCGTGGGAGGAGGAAGAGGCGTTTTTTTTGGAGAAGCTGGATTAAGAGAAGTAAAGGAGTTTAGAACGAGTTACTGTAATTATGTTTCAATAAGAGGCGTCTGACTGGTCTGTCGCCGCGGCGTTAAACTATTTTTAGAGCACACGTCGTTTTCGCCAAACCCCCGGCCTTGGGATTCTTACAGATATACAGACATAATTATGCTAACATTGGGTGATGTTATTGGTCGGCCGATGTTATCGGACGTTACATTTTGCATTCCGCATTTCGCAGCTGAGATACTTTTGTGGTTAGATGTCAAAAGGGAAATCGAGTCGTGTTGTTTTTACTGAGAATTCCCATCAACCCACTGTCCTCAGAGGCCTCAGCTGGACATGTTTTAAGAATGGTAAATTTGTGTGTGTGTGTGTGTGTGTGTGTGTATTTTTGGCTTATTGCGCGCAGCCTGCTGTGCAGACGCTCAGTTTGACAGGACGAGAAATCTGAAGGACTTTTCCGTTTTTATTTGTCTTGATCATGAGTTTAAATCTACTGTGTTTGTGTGTGTGTGTGTGAGTCACCTCTTGCGTAATGTGAAACTACGGTAAAACTTTAAAAGAAAAACCACAAGTGTTTTTTTGTGAGTTGGGCTTTTGGTCCCCGATTTTTTTCTTTTCTTTTTTTGGACAGTTTGTGGCTTTTAGTCATTTTTGTTTTGGTTTATGTGCGAGAAGATGAATAATCCAAGATGAGTCTTCGTGTCTTGTGGCTTTTTAAGTACAAAGTACTCATCACATTTGGATGAGAAGAGGAATAATCCAAGATGAGTCTTCGTGTCTGTTTGTACATATTTATATACTGGCGTAGTTTCCAGTTTATTTCTCAATTATATTTAGCATATTTGGACTCCGACTCAGCTGTCAGCTGACTCGTGAACATGAGAACACAGACTGACTGGGGTCTGACCGTGGAGTCTAATATTTCTGTCACATTTGGTTGTCGGCTACGACGGGGGGGTCATGTCAGCTTTTACATTTGGCCGTGTCTTTGTCTCTGTCCGCAGTTTCATAGCGGAGTCGGAGCAGCAGAGGGAACTCTGGGTGGCCGCCATGAGGAACGCTATAGGCGAGGCGCTGTCCAATAGCGATGTGGCGAACCAGATATGGGCGGAGCCTAGTAACAGTTTCTGCGCCGACTGTGGGATTGCCAAACCAGAATGGGCAGCTATCAACTTGTGCGTGGTGGTCTGCAAGCAATGTGCAGGTTTGTGTGTTGAAATATTAGCATGTAAATCAGGGCTGTCAACAGATTCAACTTTTTATTCCAATTGATCGTAGAATAGCTGTGGACCAATCGCAATTTATTTGGATCAATCTGAATAAATCAACAGTTCTGAATTCTGACAAACTTTTCTCTATATAATGCTGGACCAGGGAGACAAATAACAGCAGCTGAATCTTTGTCTTTCAAATGTTTTACATTTTTTAAATTTGTGACTGATCCAAATGATTGAATTGTTGATGACTGATGTTCTCCTCAATAACATCTATTAGGCTAGTGTTCCTCACCACCCATTTGGCAATCGTGTTAGTCAGCTTTTTCAGACTGTTGTCGACTGACCTACTGCCCTGTGATTGGTCAGGCTAGCCTGACAAAAGCCGGGGCATTTGAGTTAAAGCCTTCACAAATGCAAGCTCAGCGATGAGATGGTATTTTTCGGGTACTTTGTTGAAGCAACATTTTTTTTTCCCTTGTAGTGCTTGTAGATACCATGTGTCCCTACTGTATATTAGAGCAACATTCAGAATTGGCACATGCTTTAAAATGAGCCAAATTGTAATGTAATCTTTCTAATCTAATCAGATGAATTTGAACCCAATGAACGCCTTCATTTTCACAGCCTTAATATGAATATAGTAGTTGTATATGTGCTACCATAGAACCTGAAGCCAATATCAGTTTCCCCCAGTAATCAAAGAAATTGTGTATGTTAAAAACTCCACATGTTTTAGGAGAGCACATCCCCCAGTAATCAAAAGAAAACTCCACATGTTTTAGGAGAGCACAGAGGACTGGGTCCCAGCGTGTCCAAGGTGCGTAGTCTGAAGATGGACAGGAAGGTTTGGACAGAGGAACTCGTACAGGTACAAAGGCCCTGATTATTAGTGCTATCAACTGCTTCATTTGGTACTGTCATAAATGGGATTATGTGCAGGCGACCACGTAATGTCAGAAGGCTTCATACACATCTCCCCATGCAGGTGTTTCTCTCGCTAGGCAACGAGCGGGCCAACAGCTTTTGGGCTGCTAACGTCCCGCCCAGTGAGGCGCTGGCGCCTTCTAGCAGCAGCGAGGAGAGGAGGCGATTTATCACCAACAAATATCGCCAGGGAAAGTACAGAAAGTACCACATGCTGTATGGGAACCAGACTGAACTGAACAATGTAAGTTCGTAGTCGCGTTATGAACAGATGGCCTTGTTAATTAGAAATCAACGAATCCTGTTGCGAGTCACACTTGATTAATTTTTCCATCTCGTCCGTTGCTATTTCTCGCAGAATCTCACGGTGCATGTAAAATGAAAATAAGGTTGAACTTCACAAAACCGAGACTATCTACAGTTGCACAATTTGAAGATGAACACAAAGATAAATCTATTGCCATAATGATCACTTTAGAGACGTTTGTTTTCAAGCGCAGGCTATATTATATATTTTCACAATTTACTCCATTTTTTTTTTTGATTTTGTTAAACTTAATGGTAAAGTTACCACGTTAAACCAAAGTTATAAACACAAAAATTGTAATCTCTTTTTTAAGTTTCCTACGTTTTAAAAAAAGATTCTTGCGTTTATGGAAAAATTCTCACACAGTTATCAGACTTTTGTACCAAGTCAGTTAGCTAGCGTAAACCTGCTTAGGTCTGGGACGTGTTGTGCTTGTTTTGTTAGAAAAAGGACTTCAGATGAACCATAAGTGCACTATGTGTTGTGCTTTGAGGTGAGCAGCAGCAGCAAATATCTTAGAGTTCCACAACCTCCTTTAGCAGCTTAACCCACTTAACCGCAAACAATGTCGACTGTTCTCACACTCACACTGTGGGCGAGTGAGTCAGTCAACTTTAGCACCTGACTTTGTGTTTCTTTTTTTTTTTTTTTTTCTCTTCCCTCCCCTGAGCGTTTGAGCTTTGTGTGCAGAGAATTCCCTTTATCTCCCTCCTTACTCCCCAAATACAAAGAGGATCTCTCTCTCTCTCTCTCACTCACTCTATCTCTATCTACAACTGTATCTCTCTCTCTCTTTTTTTTCTTTTTCTCTCAGACAAACACAGCCTTTCATTATCAAACACATTTTTTTTTTTTGTTGGATAAAACGTTTTTTTTTGCCCCTGTCGTAGTTGTTTCATGGCTTTGTAATTTAGACCTGTCTCACCTGGATCAAATTCTATGACTATTCTCTGTGAGGATATGCTTATGTCATAACAAGCAACCAGTTGTGCATAGCCAAAGGTTCATTTAGGCCACTGGATTTCATCAATCAATAATGTTAGACAACAATTTGGATTTTTATTTTATTTTATTTATATTTATTTTATAGGTGTCTGTATATTTGTTGACCCCCTGCTATATGTAAAGTGAAAATAAGCATCAAAGCGTTTCTATTATTCTATTATAAAAAAAAATAGAGTCATTAGTGTTTTAAGCCTCACTACCAAAAAAAAGAGAGAAATATGTTAATAGATTTATGACATTTGTAGGTTTCATAATCCTTAGGCACCGTTTCCTGATGGTGCCGTAGGTCACGAGCAACGAACGGATCCCGAAGGTGGAAACGGGTCAAGTTTGATCTGAAAGAAGTTGTTTTGAGTCGTATAAGAAAGTGGCAATGCATTCTTATTAAACAGTGAAGATAGAAAAGAGAGAGAAAGAGAAACAGAAGTAAAGAAAGTTTTTCACGTGTTCACGGGGTTTTTACCCCATGTTGATTTAGTCCTGGCCTTTCACCCCATCTTTCCTCTTTCCTTTCTTCTTTGTTTTCCCAATTTTTTTTTTTTTCAAATGTGACATCACTACTCACTGCCTTAGCTGGAATGTGCCGTAACTCCGCCTCCCCTCCTCCTTCTCCTCCTTCTCCTTCTACTTGTTGATCTCCTGTCTTCATTGTTTGGCTGAAACGGCTGAAGACAGTTGGTCGACCTCTCTCTCTCCTGGTTCATTCTGCTCGTCTGTAAGTTCCGTTCCTTTCATTGTGTCACTTTTATACACACATTTGGTACTTTAGTTTATGTACTCGAAATTTTACAACTCGGGGGAGGGGTTGTTGACAGACCCCTTAAAAACTCCCAGGTACAATCCGGGCTGTGTGTGTTTTGTGTACTAGTGAAAGGTGGTAAAATAATTTCTGGCTGCAGAAGCGTGTTTTTTTTTTGTTGATTTGCGATTTGTGTTTGACATGCTTGTGCAGGTGTGTTTTTTCCCAATGGGTGTCAGTGCAAGTCTAGGAATGTATGTCATACGCTGGACTTTGGATCTGTGATAGCGTCTATTCGCAGCGCGTCGCGTGTGAACTAACTAACTTATATTCTACGGTGGCTCTGCATCACGTTTGCTTGCGACGGGGACAGAAGCTCCATTGTGGTTGAACGTAAATGACAGTACATTAGAGTGTCTGTCTGTATCGGTGCAGTGGGCAGATGGCATTAATATTCATATTGATTTCTGCATATCTCTCTCTCTCTCTCTCTCTCTCTACTGTCTGTATCCCTGTGTGTTCATGTAAATGAATTAAGTCTAAAAAAAAAAAAAAAAAAACTTGTTGTAGAGATTCTTTTCCTTCAGTCAACTAACTACTAAAACTAAATTAAAAAACGAATAAATAGATATAAATAACTACCACCACTTAGATTTAATAACCTTGAAAAACATTATAATAATTAGTAAAATCCCAAATCGAACACTTTAAAAAAAAAAAACTTTAATGCAAATTTCTATTGTCTGCATGTTCACAGCTCAGACTATGCTGTTTGAATCCATTAGTTGTTAATACGGTGTATTTCAACCTTGGGGTCACGACCCCATGTAGGGTTACCTGTACTTCAAATGGGGTTTGTAATATATATATATATATATATTTATTATTATATTCTATTCTATTTTTAAACTTATGATTAAAACCTGAGTTTCAATAAAATGGAGCTTGTAAAAATATCTGAGGGCCATCTGGGGCATCTTGACCGATGGCAGTGGTCACATGACTGCACATGTGACAGCAACTGAAATGTCTCTGGGGGTCAGAGGCCAAAAAAGGTTGGGAACCACTGCCTTAATGTCAACGTATGCCAGATATCAGTTGATCATTAGTTTGCTGAACGTGTTTGTGAAAGAGTGAAGTTACCAAAGAGTACAGGGTGGAGTGCTTTCAGAAATGTGTGAAGACGGAAGAGGGAGTACAACTTAGGATTTGTAACCCAACGTGTCTTCATCATCATCACATGATTAATATATACATTACATGTATAACATCAGCTGCGCGTGAGTCAATATTTCCAGACAACACCTACCACTTTTGTTGAATTGGTTTTGGTGTGTCCGAAAGTAACAGTGACGCTCAGCCTATTTTGGTGTTTCTCATCCAAAACTGAAAAAAAGTGGGTCAGTAATAAAAACATTTTACAGGCTCTCTCTCTCTCTCTCTCTCTCTCTCTCTCTCTCTCTCTCTCTCTCTCTGTGCTTGTATAAAGAATATGTCTGTATTTCCATTCCCTCCCGTTGCTCATTTGTTTGTCTGATCTTTCTTCCCCTTTTCCAGCTGCGTCTCCTCATTTCCCCCTTTTTCACACTGCAGGATTTCCGATCAAAAATTCATCTCGCGTCAACTGTAAAAATGGATCGTTTTATTGCTCGTTTTACATTTATTTTTTTATTTGAACCATGGCCGTATGAATTTCTGTTTTTTTTTTTTTCTCTCCATGTCGTATTACATTTCTGCCCCCCCCCAACCCTCCACCTTCATCTGTCTGGATTTTCATCTCCTCCTTCTTTCTCCGTATCATCTCTGCAAACTTTGGTGAGGTAATGAGGGGAAAACGGAGAGGCTAACGGCTCCATCTGGATTTCATACGAACACGTTACACATGTTAATGCCGCTCCGCCTGGACGTCCTTCATTGTTGGGGGGGGCTGGGGGGGGGTAAAGCCAACAGGAGGGGCCGCCCTCTTCACGTCTGTGCTGCATTTGCACACACGCTGCGTCCCGTGGAGCTCGTAGACAAGAACAATCAATCCCTGATTAATGCGTCTCGCTGAAACGCTTTCATCTTTCCCGTCACAATATTTTTCTTTCTCCCGTTCCTCATCTCCCTCCTTTTCCTCTAAATCTGTGCTTGCCTAACTGCTGAGGCCAGATGGAAGCCTGTGATTTTTAGACACACCCAGATAAAATCTTCCCTCTCTCTCCCTCTGTCTGTCTGTTTGTCTGTCTCTCTCTCAGGGGAGCAGAGTAGGATTCTTAAATTCCCTTCTCTCTGTCTCTCTCTCTCTCTATTTTCTCCAAGTTCTTTTTTTTTTTCTCTCTCTTTCAGTCTTTATTACATTACTCCCTCGTTTCAGAGGCAGCAGATGTTTGAGGGCGAGGGTCCTCAAACACTCAAACAAACCATTTCCTCGTTGCGCTTTCGCTGATTGGTTCGGTTGGTCAGCGGTAACCAATGGTTGACCGTTTGCGAATTACCGCGCACTGACCTGCATTCGGTATTACCGCGCTGTACAGAGCTTTCACGTACTCGGGTATACTCACGTTGAGGATACAGTAGGGTCGGAAACACGTCATTTTAATGCAGCGGTTCCCCAAGACTTTAACCACAGATTTGATAAATTGCAAAAATATAAATAAAATCTTGTTTACGTAGTACCAGTTGCTGGGAAGTATGATTGGACAATGACCGTTTGGGGACGGGATTTTGTGAAATGGTCTATTCTCTTTTTTTTTTTTTCCTGTTTCTTTTGAGTGCCCCAGCAGTATTTTTCAAAATAAAAGCTGGTGAGCAACAGACATTTACTATAATTATATTATAATATAATATATATATTTTTTTTTTTTTTTAAAAACTGCCTTAATATGCAATGAAATAATAATAAAAGCAAATAATAGTTAATGTGATAATACATTAAAATGCCATGTTCTTTTATTATTATTTGCCTTATTTACGACCCCGAGCCTACTGGAGGGGCTCACATCCACTACTGTATTGTGTTACATATTTGTTTGATTTTATATAAACACTGTCTGTACTAATCACAGCTCTGGTTCAGCTTTGTAAAGCTGTCATACCTTAGATATTAGCAGCAGCAGCAATGTGTGTGCGCTGGTTTGAAAGATCATTTCCTTTATTGGCCGATCCCTCTTTTTTTTAAAAATTTTTCAGCATATACATTTTAATGCTTTGAATTTGTGAATTTGTAAACTTCCTTGATAACAGGTGTGCTCGATCTTTGCTGAGTTGCTCTACCTACTACTTTATCTCTATACAGATTTTTTTTTTTTTTTTTTTTTTTTGTTGAAAACAAAAAAAAAACCAGTCAAAGAACTTGCCTTTAAAGATAAGAATTTTATTACCGTCTCTATATGTAAATAACCATTAGTGTTTGATTAAAACAACTGCGCTTCGGTGTAACAACAGTGATGGTACTGTATCTAAAACTGGGAACACTGACTCTGTGACTCGGGAAGGACTACCGGAAAGTTCTTTTCATTTGGCTAAAACATTTTCATTTTTCCAAAACAGAAGGAATCAACTTAGGCTGGAATAAAGGGGGGGAAGGGAGGAATTGTCATGATATTTACGACATGGTGTGCAGTTATTGTTATTAAAACAAAAAAAAAAGCAATAATTAATACTTATATAGTATACTTTATAGTACAAGTTTTAGTGTCATTAAAGTTGTATTAACCAGTTTTAAAAAAAAAAGGCAAATACAGGATTTATTTACACTGATGTCCTCATTTCTTTCTTGTTTAAATCCCAAATATCTCTTGACAGTTTGGTACTTTTTAACCTTGTTAAAATGATCTATGATCTGGTACAGTAGGTGAACACTTGGGATGTTACCAATCAATGATTTCGTTCAGATTCTGTATTACTTTTGTATGTTACTTTTGTAACTTCATACTGTCAGCTGTTTTGTTTGTTTTGTCTGAGTGCGTGTGCGTGCGCGTTTGTAAAGAGGCTCAGTTGTACTTACATACTCGAGTAAAGGCGGGTTTCTGTCTGTAACAGTTTGCTGTGAAATTTCCCAATGTGTTTGTGTGCGCGTATTTATTTGCAGCCTGATTTCCTCAGCTGTAAAAACACAGCATTCCTCTCCTGATAATCGTGCCTTCCCTGCTTGGCCTCACCCTTCTTTCCGTCTTCTTCGCAGGCTGATATTTATTAAAAAAATAGACTAAAAATTTTTTTTTTTTTTTTAAGAAAAATCTTTATATAAATGTCATTAAGAAACAAACCTGGCACTGAGCTCTTGGCGTTTTTGGATGTTGAAGTAAATTATTTGTAGTCAAATTAATTTCAGTCCAAGTTGAAGTATAATCAAATGATATTTTTTTTTCCCCCCCTACATTTTCACATTTAATTCTTCAAGATTAACAAGTATAATCAAATGATATTTTTTTTCCCCCCCTACATTTTCACATTTAATTCTTCAAGATCAAATTTGTGTGCGTACGTGCTTTTTTAAGATTTTTTTTTTTTTTAAATACTTTGCTCACAAAGTTAATACTGTTTGCGTATAGAACTTGAATTCTACTCTCGCCAAGTTTTTGTCTGTGGCAGCTTTTTTTTTTTTTTTTTTTTTTTTTTGCATTTTAATGATTTCATCTTTCTTCTCTCCACCTTGTCAGGCTTTATGTGTGAATATCCAATGCAGTGATTTGTTGGAGACGTTGAGTTTGATCTTCTGCGGGGCAGACGTAAATTGCTCGACTGGCATGACAAACTGGCCGTCCCCTCTGTCCCTGGCCAACGCACGCTCACAGCACTTACAGGCTGAAATAATCAGCCACAATCTCAACACAGGTACAGTGAGCACGACTGTGAATGTTTGTGGAAAAAAGTAGCAATGATTGTCATTTAGAAGCTGTGATATTTAGTTTTTTTTTGGAACCTTCGTACCGTATTTGTTTATCATCTACTACAGTTCTGTGTCTGCTGTTATGGTTGAAAGCTCACATTCTTTACATTTTTCCTCACTCGCTGTTGCAACTGTTAACTTTTCTTTTGCCATGATGACTCAATTATGACTGAATGTTTTATAACCGAACTCACATTCCTGTGTTTTGGATGGTAACCCTTGTCATCTTGCAAAATTACATGTTTTTCTTTTCTTTTCTTTTTTTTTTTTTAAAAAGCCTGTGCTTATTTGTTTGTTTATTTTCCTGGTCTGTGTGCTTATTTGTTTGTTTATTTTCCTGTAGATCAGCCTCAGTCAGAGGGGGTTGTGGCCATGCAGCCAGTTCCTTATTCAAAACCACCTTGTGTGTCTTACAATGGCTTTCTGTTCAAAACCGCATCCATGGCTCGAGCGGTCACTGAGCGCAAGGCCAGAGAAGGTACTCACTACATATGCAATATTTTGTTTCGCCAACCAATTCAGTATTCGACTGCACTGTATTGTTTCTTTTATTAACGATTGACATGCAAATATTAATCTATTCATTATATTCATATCAAATTGAAGCCATCTTAAGATTTAAAACACCCTGAAGACACAGATTGTGCTGCTGTGATTCTCATAGTTCAAGTTCAAGTTCTTCCGCGTTTCTCCACGCAGAGTTCAGCCGCCGTTGGTGCACGCTGAACGACGGCGTCTTCAGCTATTATGAGAGCGACAAGAACTCCAACCCCAATGGAGCACTGAAGGTTTCAGAAATAGTCAGTTTGGCTGTTGACGCGCCTGAAAAACATGGGTAACATGAACCAAATGCTTACGTAGACATACCGGTATAAAGACAGAAATGAACCAAATACGTAGACATACCGGTATAAAGACAGAATTACTTTTCTTTTTTGTCGAGTCAACCACTGTTTACCTTTATTTTTTCACTTTTCTTGTCCTCAGATACGAATACACCTTTGAAATCTACTCGGAGTCAGAGCGACTATATCTGTTCGGCACCGATGATGCCGACAGCCACAAAGAATGGGTTAAGTCCATTGCTAGGGTAAGCACCATATATTCACTTCGATGTAGAACCTGTGACCACAAACATAATTCCTCAAGGCTCGGTCCACACCTGGACACTTAGAACACTTGAAGAACAGTTGAAGTTTATGTCCGCACCTGGACCCTTGAAGAACACTTGAAGAACAGTTGAAGTTTATTTGTATTCAACAGATTTGTATGTGTTGTCGCAAGTGCCGGTGATTTGCAGCCTGTTTGGCCTGTTCTTCATATTTTGACCCTTTGACGGCAAATATTGTTCATCCATCATAAGCAGCCCGTCTGATAATTTTGTGATTTGTTTTCTGTAAAAAAAAAAAATCAAAGCTTCTTGGACTTCTTGTTGATTAAGAAGTTAATGTCTATGGATTAAAAAAAGTATTTTTTTCCAAACTTAGGGTTGCCTGGAATAGTCTAGTAATTGAAAAAAAAAAAAAAAAAAAAAACGAATAATTTTTTTTTTCAATTAGTTATTGTTTTTTTTAAAATAATGATTAAAACAACTGTATTCTCTGACTTTTATCAATTTAAATCAAATTACTGTCAATAACCTGACTAATACTCTGGGGTTGCCAGAAATTTGTGATGTCAAAATGGGGTCACAAGCCAAAAAAAACCATTGGAAATCCCTGATTTAGAAAGTGATTTTGTTTAAATTTCTCACCACACAGTGATTCCACAAAGACCAAAGAGGATGAAGGAAAAATAATCCTGTGCATAAAACGTTGTTATTCTTCTTTTGGCAGAGTTTCATACCCACTGCCGCAGAGCCGTTACTGAAGATGAGTTTTGAGAGGATCGGACGGCTGAAATGTAAAGACGGCTTGAACCTGCAGACGTCTCGGCTGGGTTGGTTCGCTCTGGTGGGCTCCACACTCCATGCCTCACTAGAGGATGGGCAGTGTGAGGAAATCCACCTCCGTAAAGTTAACGAACTCTGTGAGTAGAGTAGTAAAGTCCTGCACCCAAAGTACTCTGATGTGCTGTTTATCTAAGGAGTTAGGAACAGAAATGTTTGTATTGTTTATATAAAAAAAAAAATGAAAATGTTGACCGTGTTGTTCTGTGTCACAGCCACACAACAGGACAATGGAGTGCTGGTTCTGGTGGAGAAAGGCAGGTGAGCACGAGCACAATTTCATATATTTTTGCTTGTATTTCACTTCTTTTTTTTTCTTGCTCTTGGACTTCAGTGTTTCTCTTAAAAGGTTTCCCCAAATTTTTCTCCCATTCTATTCAGGACTTTGTACATAGAAGGTGAGAGAAAGTTGGATTTCGCAGGCTGGTGCGCCGCCATCCGATCGGCAGGAAGGAGCGGAGGAGACACGCTGAGTCAGCAGCAGCTCACCGAAACGGACATACCTGTCATCGTCCACAGCTGCATTGGATACATCACTCAGTGCGGTGAGAGCCCTACGAAGACGTGCTTTAATGCAAAATGACCCCAAGGTGGGAAAAAAAAAAGATAGAAAATACGTCGCGCACCGTTCGAACAGAACCTGTGTTTGTGTCCGTCTCTAGGCTTGGCGTCTGAGGGCATTTATCGCAAAAGCGGCGTGAACTCGCGTGTCAAAGCTCTGTGCGAGAGATTTCGGGGTGATGCCCGCAGTCTTTGTCTAAGGGAGGGGGAGCACCAGGTGGACGACGTCTCCAGTACGCTGAAACGCTTCTTCAGGGAGTTAGAAGAAGGACTGTTCACATCAGCGGATGCAAGCAGCTGGCTCAGTACAGCAGGTGAGATGGAGTTCATTCAAGCTTATTTCACCTCTCCTACTTTGTAATTAGTGTCATTCCCCCTGTCCCATTCCCCCTATATTTTAAGACAGTGGGTCCAGCTGTTGAGCAATACATCAGAGTCACTTGAGAAGCCCATTGCTGTTAGCAGTTTTTCACCTTTGGAGCTATGTTCTGCCGAGGTTCCAACAGTGTTATAATATCCGACCGTTTTGCTCGGGTGTCACTGTGTTATTGCGCAATATTTATTTATACTTTCTAAACCTTCAAATTTTAGTCTGACTGACTGCTGCGTTTTTATTACAATTCCAGACAAATACCGTATTTTCCCGCACTTTTTTTTTCGTCCTTTGGCTGAGTTTGCGACACATATATTAAAATATATAATTTCACGTTTGTTATTTTCACACTGACAGGGCACTCTAGCTGGCTGGTTTAACTTAGACACAGGAGGGACTATGTGTTTTTTTTTCTTATTATTATTATTATTCATTTTTTGGCTGGTGCAACTTATAGTCCGGAAAATATAGAACACGTCTTATTTTTACCTTGATTCTTCACGTCTCTTCTGGCACTGGTACATTTAAAGGAAGTGTTTCTGATTCAGCTACTCTTCGCACGACGTCCGTGTTTAAATGTCCCTTCCACCATTTTCCAGGCGTCCAGGATGAAAGTGTGAAAATTGCTCAGTACCAGCAGCTGCTGAACAGACTGCCTCATGTGAATAAGGCCACACTACAAGCCCTTATCAACCACCTCTACTGGTGAGATACGACTACCAAACAACAACAACAACAACAAGTCAACAAACCTCTTACAAATGCGTGTTTGCTTCCGCATGTGTTTCAGTGTGCAGCGTTTCTCTGAGCTCAACCAAATGAACCTCCACAACCTGGCTATAGTCTTCGGCCCCACACTGTTCCAGACAGATGGGAAGGACTACAGCGCCGGCCTCACTGTAGAAGACCTCATACAGCACTACACACTTATCTTTGAGGTTTGGTTCACGACTCACTGCTGACGGGATATGATAGCGACAGAGGAAGCACTGAGGAGTTTCAAAAGCTGGTGACAGTAGGGGGTGGTCAAACATATGGTTCAGCTTACATTTATAATTTAAGGATTTGGTCTTTGGAGTTTGTCTGGTTTTATTTCTAGCGGGTTTTATTTTACATGTATTCACAACTGATGTGAATTAAATGTAATGTTATCTGTTGTATGTTTATATTTGTTGGGGGTAAAAAAACATGTCATTATGTTCTTATGTTCTAAAGCTCTGGGTGGTTTCCAAAATGGGGGGGGGGAGGAGGAGATGGGTATATGAGAAAAAAAATGATATGGCAGAAGGACGGAAATGTGGGATGAAGAGATTTCCCTTCAGGGGATTGAATGAAATCCCAGTGCTTGTTGCCAAAATGTACTTTTAATGAGATGCGGACCTCGTCGCCTTTTATCTCAACTGTGTTATTTGGTAATGAGGAGATTAAAAAAAAAAAAATGAAGCTTTGTGCTGATGACATTAGCTAAAAGTCATTTTATTTCCTGCTTCTTCATTGGCCACAAAGTGGTCCGGGTCCTTGGGGACCTTTTTAAATGATGCTTTATTTTACCAGCTCCTTACCCTGTGTGTGCTTTAAAATGAATGAATGTGTGTGTTTGTTTGCAGGTGGATGAGCAGCAGCTAAAGAAGCAGCTGGAAGAGATCACTGTCATCATTAAAGTCAGGGAAAAAATGAGCACAAAGTTTCCCGTAAGTAAATAGTGTAACTTGGATTTTGAACATATAAATCACATTTCTTGTATGTTTGTAATTTACTTGTGTCCTTAAAAAAAAAAAAAAAGGTATGTTTGTAATTTACTTGGTTTATTTTTCTAATTTATGTCACAGTGTGATATGTAAAATGTGTCCTTAAAAAAAAAAAAAAAAAAACGCATTGTAAAAAAATTTTTATATATATATTAAGGGGTTTTTTTTTTATTTTTTTTTTTTTTTTTTTTTTTTTTTTTTTTTTGTCAATGCTGCTGAAATCTTTTTCCTTCTCTGTGACTCTCACCTCAGAGCACTGAGCCTGGTGGACATTTCATCTGCACCGTTTACCTGGAGGAGAAAAAAGAAACGGCTGAGCAACACGTGAAGGTGGCCTGCTCTTAAAACATTATTTCCTTACAATTCTGTGATTTTTTTTTTTTTGAAAGTAATTGATGATGGTTGTCTTTGTTAGATTCCTGGCTCTATGACAGCAATGGAGCTGACGTGTGAGGTCCTTCATCGACGTAACATCCTCGTCAGAGACAAGGAGTACTGGTGCTGCTGGGAGATCAGCAACAAGGAGGAAATGGGTTCGTTTGAGTTGTTCGAAATAGTTTGAAAATGAATGACCGACGTTTGCGTTCAAGGAAAATGTAGAGATCCTCAAGGTATTCTGGGACATAAATTCTCCTCCCGGCTCCCCTCCCTTGCCCCTGCTGTGTGAATAAATACAGAGATGGGTTAAAGTTATCAGTATTTAATACGCAGGCACTTAAATTTGCTAGTTTTGACTTCTCAAACCCTGTTCAAGACCAGAGAACAATCTAGCAACATTCCAGTTGGATGATGAAAACAAAGATTTACCAGATGTATTCTGGGTAAATGTAAAAAATAAATTCAACATCTACAACTGTAAAAAAAAAAAAAAAAAAAAATTCTTTATATTAGAAATTATACAGGAAAGGGAAGTAAACAGAATGTGATTGCGCGGACGAGCTGGAGACAATTCTGTTTCCGTCTTTATCAATCAACAGTAGGGTGTGGATTGACAAACAACAGTCCAATCCAAAAACAGAAAACAAATCTTGATTTAGATCAAATATTGTCTCCTTACAATTATGCTGCACGGGGAGATTAAAGTTGTTATCTCAGTAAGTCAAAAACGTTTTGCTTATAATTTTATTATTTTTTTCTTGTGTGACAAACAGTTTTTTCTTATCCATGTGTTTTCCCAGAGCGTCCATTGCACTATCAGGAGCGTGTCCTACCTATTCTTCACGCCTTAGGCACGGACTCCCATCTGGTCATAAAGAAGCATCTTGCTATGGAAGCAATGATCACTTACCTGTGTAAACCCACACACTCAATGTGAAGTTGTCTGTTTATAGCAATCCACACGTTTCGAGTTCTCCACGTAACGACATTCCCTTCTGATGCTTCTGCCCACCAGCTAGTAAAGCGGACGCATCCAAACATGGGATGATGAAATTCAGAGAAGAGCGAAGCATCCTGGGACTGGGACTGACCTCTGGACATTTCCATGACCGATACTTCATCCTCAACTCCAGCTCACTCCGAATGTACAAAGAAATCAGAGTAAGCGTGACGAATACAACGGCTTCTTTGACATCCTGTGCTCCCGGTGTCCCAGTCTGTCACTGGTTTATTATTCACTCTGCTCCTCTCTTTCTCTCTCTTCTGTCAGAGTAACCGCTCAGAACGTGATTGGCCAGTGAAAAACCTCAATGTTTACTTAGGAATCAGGAAAAGACTCCGTCCTCCCACTTGGTGAGTATCATGATGTGCAGGAGACACACAGCTCTGAGGAGGAGACGGTTGGACAGAAATAAAGTCCGATTGTGAACCCTAGTTTCACCATCCTTGCAATGCTTCACTTTTTATTATATATTTTTAGGGTTTTTTTTTTTTCCTAATCATGAAATCCAGTAAAGACGGACTGTTTTCACCACTAAAAATATGGGCTCCTCCCTTCGCAACCATTACACACTAGTGATGTGCGGATCGATCCTGAAATATCGATACTTCCGATTCTGGATCTTTATGCTCTGAAATCGATTCTGAAAATTATTATTATTATTATCATTTATATTTATATTATTATTTATTATTATTATTATCATTTTAAATAACCATTGTGATCCTTTCTTCATTTTGTGCAGCAGTAGAATCTTTTTTTTCCCCCCTCACTGTGTGTGTAAGGAATACTTACACAGATAGTTCAAATGTTTTGAAACCTGCTCTTCTCCTCCCTCCATGTCTACCTGGAAGTGCTTTGGCGTTAACTAATCCCTAATCCCTAATCCCTAATTTGCATGTACGTGTAGAAAACGGATATGCAGGAAGAACATACAGTACCTAACTCTTTGTGCCCCCCTCCCAAATAATGTATACCGTGTTATTGAATTGAATATGCCTGCCTTAAAGCTAACAGGTGTCTTTTCATTCGTTATTGTTGGTATGCAGAATGGCCAATAGGGGGCAGACTGAGCCTAAGAATGACGCTCACTGCCGCACCTGTAACTTGACGTGTCTCTCTCTCTCTCTGTTTCCAGTTGGCCTGACGGTGTTATGTGAGAGTAAGAAACCAGATCGACAGGAGAAGCAGCAGTTGTGAGTATCTGTCTGGTGCTGTGTGCGAGAAATATACTGCAGTTGAACGTATCACTGTAGTACTTAGTAGTTTGTACATGAGAAAAGTACAGTCTAAGGAGTGTACATGTCTACTATGTGAGTCATGATTTGAGGCCACGTCTACTGTACCTTTCAAAACATCATTTTATCACTCCTGAAACATATGTGTATTTGCTAGTGAAGAAAGACGTATGTAAGCAAAAACATATAGCAGTAAATTACACTATTTTTACTTACAAAGTAACTGATGTAGAAACAATTATTTATATATAACTCCACTTTGGGTTTCATTCAGTCCAGGCATCACTTCCTTTCCACATAATAATGTCAGTCTATTCATTGGCTGTAATTTGGACTCAATCCCATTGGTTCTGTTGGTGCCGTCACAGCATGAATGTACAGTATGAGAACACCTTAATCAAACACTATTCATTCAAAATCCATCATATGAGGGATGTCAAGATGATCAACGAGACAATATGGCAGAAAAGAAGTAGAAGAAGAAGAAGAAGCAGCTGTATATCCTGTAGCTGCCTTTCACAGCTTTTTTAATTTAGGAGGACATTTAGACTATGGCGGCATCGTGATCATCACGTCAGCCTTATGGCAGCATTGATGCAGGTTTAGTTGAGATGCCTTACACGTCACTGCATTTTCAATATGGCCTTCATTTATTAGACTGTTCACCAGAGGTGTGGACTCGAGTCTCGTGACTTGGACTCGAGTCAGACTCAAGTCATCAATTTGATGACTCTAGACTCGACTTGACAAAATGTAAAGAGACTTGGAACTCGACTTGGACTTTTAACATCAATGACTCGTGACTTCACTTGGACTCGAGCCCTTTGACTCGACAAGACTTGATGCTTTCTCCAAAACCGGCACAACATCCAATCAAATTAGACCCACGTTGTTTTGACGCGATAATATCGAGCCAATCAAATTGCGGGCCAACCAATGAGAAAGAGCTGTCGAACAATGCGCGGGTTAGAGAAAATGATACCGAAGATCGTGTTGTTCGGATTTAAAAACTACGAGATGGTCAACAAAAAAAACGAGTGGCAGTGAGTGGAAGGACTCGAAAGGACTCGAAACAGAAACGGCAGGACTTGATCCTTTCTTCATTTTGTGCAGCAGTAGAATCTTTTTTTTCCCCCATCACTGTGTGCGTAAGGAATACTTCTCCCAAATAATTTATACCGTGTTATTGAATTGAATATGCCTGCCTTAAAGCTAACAGGTGTCTTTTCATTCGTTATTGTTGGTATGCAGAATGGCCAATAGGGGGCAGACTGAGCCTAAGAATGACGCTCACTGCCGCACCTGTAACTTGACGTGTCTCTCTCTCTCTCTGTTTCCAGTTGGGGCCTGACGGTGTTATGTGAGAGTAAGAAACCAGATCGACAGGAGAAGCAGCAGTTGTGAGTATCTGTCTGGTGCTGTGTGCGAGAAATATACTGCAGTTGAACGTATCACTGTAGTACTTAGTAGTTTGTACATGAGAAAAGTACAGTCTAAGGAGTGTACATGTCTACTATGTGAGTCATGATTTGAGGCCACGTCTACTGTACCTTTCAAAACATCATTTTATCACTCCTGAAACATATGTGTATTTGCTAGTGAAGAAAGACGTATGTAAGCAAAAACATATAGCAGTAAATTACACTATTTTTACTTACAAAGTAACTGATGTAGAAACAATTATTTATATATAACTCCACTTTGGGTTTCATTCAGTCCAGGCATCACTTCCTTTCCACATAATAATGTCAGTCTATTCATTGGCTGTAATTTGGACTCAATCCCATTGGTTCTGTTGGTGCCGTCACAGCATGAATGTACAGTATGAGAACACCTTAATCAAACACTATTCATTCAAAATCCATCATATGAGGGATGTCAAGATGATCAACGAGACAATATGGCAGAAAAGAAGTAGAAGAAGAAGAAGAAGCAGCTGTATATCCTGTAGCTGCCTTTCACAGCTTTTTTAATTTAGGAGGACATTTAGACTATGGCGGCATCGTGATCCTCACAGCAACCTT